TTATTATTAATATAAATAGTAATATTAATATATATTAATTAGTATTGATGTTTAAAACTAAAATATAAATATATGTATTTATTTTGGTTAATTCGGTTTTTGGTCCGGTTCGGTTGAATTTTTTCTCAAATTAAACCCAAAACCGAAAACTGAAATTTCTAAATTCATAAAACTGAGCCAAACCAAAAACCGAAATAACCAAACCGAATGGATTTATTCAGTACAATTTTTGGTTTGATAACTAAATTTGAACACCCATAACTGAAGCTGAAGTTGGGTAGGGTTGCAAATAAGTCGGATCAGATCCGATCTGAATCTGAAACCGATGATCCGTTAAGAGGCAAATTTGGATATTCCTCCTGGTTCTAACAAATCGGATCGGATCGAAAAGGGTGATCCATTAACTTAACGAATCAAATTCGGATATTGGCTGATCTRATTTGTTTTGACCCGATCTGATCCGTTAATTATGAAATACTATATATTATATTATATTTACATATTATATATGTATATTTTATATATTATTTATATAATTATATATTATATATTTTAATATATTATTATATTATATAAATAATATAATATATTATTTATATTACATAATATAAATATAATTCTTATCAAATTCGGATCAGTCAGATTTTCTTAATGATTCAGATCGGATATACCCTTATGGAATAGGGGTGTAAACGGACCAAATTCAAATCAGATCATGCAATAACCAAATTCGAATCCGATTGGAAAATTCGATATCCGAATTCGACTCGATACCCGACAGATATTAAAAATTAATATCTAGATTCGAATCCGATTAAATATTCGAATATCTGATTTGATTCGAATTTGATTAATTAATAATTAATAAATATATAAAATAAATATTTTATTGATATAAAGTATATAAATATATAAATTATTTATATAACTTAATTATTATATATAAATTATATAACATATTTTATATATTATATATAATAATTAAATAATAGGTCAAGTTCGGATATTTATCGAATCGAATCAGGACATATCTGAATTCGAATCCGATTAACTATTCAATAAGAATATGATATCTGAATTCGACCGATTAAATATTCAAATTATTTGAATTCGATTCGATTATATCAAATATCGAATTCAAAATCTGATTTTTGAATACCATTAACACCCCTATTATGGATTGTGTTTACTAATGTACCAAGATTATTTATTATTTAACTATCTTGTCCCCTAAAAGACAAAGCAAGAAACCATCAATTCAGCCATTTCAGCTGTCATCAAATGGTCCCTAAACCTAAGTCTCAAGTGATTATAAATAAGGCATAAACACATAATGTAATAGTGCAATCAGCGTATGAGATATATGGATATTAGGTATTTTGCAATGAAAAATAGCTTCACCAATACTACATTAATGAACGTCTCAACTCTAGTTTACTGAAAATTCAATATGACTCCCTAAATATGATGATAAAATATTATAAAATAAATACTCAAAACACCCAAAGCCATGAAATAATTACAAACTAATATGTACAAAAAAGTAATTAATAAATATTTATACACATGAACCATTAAATTATTGGCAAACATAAATAAATACAAGTAATTTGTAAATAATTCGTTAATTTGTCCAATTTAAACCCAAATTAAAAAAAAAGTCAATTTAGCTAATCGTATAATTTTTTACCAATTACTACATTTATTAAATTATTAATATGTTATATTTTAAATTAAATGATTTCTTAGCAATTATAGGAAAACATATATAGTCTTAATTTAAAAATAATATACTAGATCTATGAGAATGGCATAAAAACTAAGATCCATAAATTTAAGACACAAATCATGTGGGATTAATAAATTTTAATAACAAAAACAATTAATTCATATTTTAATTGATTTTATTTTATAAATCACCACATATTGTCAAAAACTCAATTTTTTTTATATCATCATATGATTCTTTCCTGCCATCAAAGTGTTATCACCCACCTTGAGTTGACCTTGTATGATGGGTTTTTGTTCAGCCTTAATTGAGTGTTGGGTCAGTAATTAACAAGCAATTTTGATTCCAAACCCTGAACCATATATCTTAACCCTAACCTTTACCCATCTATATATATTTATTCAATCTTTGCCTCCAAGGGGCCTTCAAGTTAATGGTTCCTTTTCTGGTAAAAGCAAGTCTAGAAATTATTCTCTTTTGTTTACACACATCTCTGGAAAAGAAGCATCTTTTTTCCTGACCCATAACCTCTCATCTTTCACTTTCAGTCTTTTTCTTTCCAGGCTCCACAAACACAATCATTTCAATATAACCTCTTCTCCTTCTTCCACAAAAGGGATCCTAAGAAAGCAAATAACCTTTTGCACTGTTCAGTTTTTACAAGCAAGCACCAGGCCATGACAAAAAAAGATACATCATCATGAAACCCCAAGCTTCCTTTGTCAATTCACTCATGTTGAACCTTCAAACTAAGCTGTTAGATGTCCCACAGGTCTGACTGCCTCATGCATGTACCAGACCATGTTGGGTCTAGCAATGCTTCCATTCTCGTCGATTCATCGATCGATCAACCAATCCACTGTGATTGGGAAACCCCATTCCAGTGATGCACCAGCCTAGTAATGCTGATGTACCACAGATCCACAGGCAGCCTCATAAATATAACTAACAGGCCATGTTGGGTGTAGCAAGCAACACCTCTATAATGGTTGATTCATCGATCGGTAATGGTAGGTTTTCAGTTGTGCTTCGACCAATCCAATCTGTTGTGGTAGGGGAACCACATTGCCATTATTGCATCACCATGGCATGTGCCCACTGCCCAGTGCAGTAATGCACCGGCCTAGTAATGCTGTTGTACAATGTGGTTGGCATAGCCTCCTTATGCTTTCAATGTGGAAAGTGACAGTCTTCTTGACCACATCTTAGAGAGCAAGGGTATCTAACCAACCTAAAGACATGATCTGTGGTGCTTCTGCCTCTGCATATCTCAAAGATTTACAACAGTGAGGAGAACAAAAGGAGATGATCAGAGCAGATTATACATTCTCCATCACCTGCAGAACGTAGTTTTAGAGAAACCTCACAGTACTATTACTGCCTTATGGTATACTTCAACTTAGAGACAAGAAGGTTGAGGCCCTACTCAGAGTGAGCAACAACTCTTGACCCCTAACCACCAATCAGCCCTGTCTGTGATGAAGCTCTTTGGGCTGACCCACTTTTTACCATCTTATTGTGTCTGAGACATGTCTCATTCATTCTAAACATTTGCAGATGTGGAGATAGTGGTTTCATACAACCATCTCCATTAATTGGGTTGAATTTAACACTTAAACATCCCCTAGCTAATAATTCTCAGGCCCATTTTACAGTATTGCAAGCTCAAAGGGTTTTTGGTAGTTGGTGCCATGGTGTTTCAAGTCACAACATTTGAACTTAAATTATGACAACGAAAACCTAGAAACTAAGATGTTTTGACACAAAACATGTCACACGATAATTTATTATAGTTTCAAACACCCATGAGACAACCGAAGTGGAAATGCCCACCTCCCTGTGGAAATACAATCCTTTTTTGACGTTTCCCCAAACACCCCATGAAAAACTAAGATGTTTTGACACAAAACATGTGGCACGATAATTTATTATAGTTTCAAACACCCATGAGACAACCGAAGTGGAAACGCCCACCTCCCTGTAGAAATACAATCCTTTTTTGACGTTTCCCCAAACACCCCATGAAAAATTAAGATGTTTTGACACAAAACATGTTGCACGATAATTTATTATAGTTTCAAACACCCATAAGACAGCCCAAGTGGAAACGCCCACCTCCTCATGAAAATATAATTCTTTTTTGATGTTTCCCCAAATACCCCATAAGCCATGCACATAACCTAATACAAAGTGTGGTGTGACATTTTTAAGTTAAATCTGTCCAACCAAATACACTCGGAGTCAAAAATACAGCACCACAGTACTTAATTATTTTTTACTTATGATATATTTACCCTAGACTAGATATACTAAGATGTTTATTAATATTTAAACCTTCTCTCTATGTTTAATATATCAATAACTTTTAAGATCGATACTTTGAAACCTTATTTAGGTGAGATCTGACCTTGACCTGTTCTGAAACACCTGCAAACCACTTTGAAAAGACCTTCAAATGAAATCACTCTTCACCATACAAAATATTCAAAATTACATAATTAATGCATAGGAACACATGCATTATTGTAGATTATTATTAAAAGATATATAAGATAGTTGAAAAGCAAATAAAATAGGATGTGACAGACAAACTACTATTTGTTTTTTAACTAACCTCTGTAATAAACAAATAGAGAATCCCTTTTGTAGTAAATTCAGGAAATTGGTGGTAGATGAGTGGATAGATTCTTGGGTTGGTCCAATTTAATAAGATAGTGATGGGTCATATCCTTAATTATAGGAGATATAACTGTGAGAGATGATTGGTCAAGGGATCAGGAAATCCATACTGACTAAAATTTCCTAGACGGGTCGTCTAGATCCCATTCCCCACGCTACCAAACCTGTTGACTACGAGCCTATTTGCCACGTGTCTTCTTGCCAATAGGCATGAAAGTTGTCCCCTTGACAAGATGTAGATGAGCCCGGATCTCATCAAAGTAAAAAGTGTGCGGACATGGTGAGAACACTTGAATTGAAATCCAGTCATTTAAATATTCTTGATGTGTGGTCGGATTTTGTTTTCTGATGCTCTCAGTTTCAGTGTATTGACATGCTTTTTAGCTTTTAGGAATGTATGAAACCTTTTACTTGCCACCTAAGCATTAAGGTGACGTGGGCGATGAATTCAAGGGTCAATTATATTCAACTTACCACGTCATCTTTTCAAAGGGAGAAAAAAAAAAGGACTGGACAAGCCCGTCCAGAAAACACTTGCTCAGAATCCATGACCAGAAAAAGAAAAAAAAAACAAGGAAAGAAGAAAAGAAGGTAATTAAAGTGGGAGAGTATACTACAGAGCCACAGATTTGCCTGATTTACCTTCACACTTGACACTCCCACCGAATCAGCGGCAGTTCTTCTCCGACAGCCAAACAAAAGAATTAATTAATTAGAAGAAAGAGAAAATAAAGAAGAGAGAGAGGGGGGAGGGAGGGAAAGAAACACTCACACAGCAACCTCCTCTCTCCCTCCCACTCCATTTCTTTCTCCAGTTTCTGCTTTGGCACAAGTAAAAGATTCTGCAGAAGAAGAAAAGAGACAACCCAGTTTCGAGGTATGGGTTTTTGTTCTTGCGTGTTTTTGTTTAAGTTAATTAAGAAAATGACGGCTCTTGCCCTAGATTCTGTAATGTTCTCCTGATCTGATCTCCGTACTGTTATTTAATTTACTTTTTTTTTTTGTTTTTGGTTTTTGTTGCAACTGTTTCTGCCATTTGCAATCCAACTTTTTGTTGGCATTATTTATGGTGGAATTTGCGTAATTGTTTCGAATTTTGCTTTTGAAGATCTGGGTCGTCGCCATTGATGATGTTTGAGTTGTTGTCGGTGCTGTAGCGGTGGGTCGTTTGAAGTAGGGGAGTTAGGGCTCACTGTACTGAGCTTTGCCTCTATGTGCTTCCCCTGTTTTGGTTGAATCAATGGACGATTGGTTAGAGTAGCTAAGCTGGTATGCTTCTCTGGTGGAGGAGGAAGAGGAAGAGCTGGATCAGTTACAAGACGGGGGTTCTTCGGAATTTTCATTTTCAGCGGTGCCCAGGTACTTTAATTTAGTATGATCTCTCCATGTAGATTTCGGGGTGGCTTAGTTCATGTGATGAGTGATTTGTTTTATATATTAATGCATTATTCAATTCATATTTGTTCTACATTTTTGAGGATTTTCTAGAATGTGGTTWTATAAGTTGTGGTTGATATTAGGGGGCTATAGCTGTTGACAATGAATTGGATCTAGGCTTCCGCTGCATTTGGGAAAATTTGGATTGGGTTTTCTCGGTTTCTGGTCATGTAATGATTATATTGGAATTTTAGGAAGTTTAAGTTTGTTTTTTCATTGTAACCTTGTTTTTATCTTTTGGGGAGTGGGGGAGTTGAAAATTGGTCATTGGCATTGTCATTGGACTTGCTTAATGTCTTTGTTATGCAGGTGGCCACAGTGAGGGCTAGGATCAAATGCCAGAGTCTCCCTCCCCTGAACCTCAAGAACTGATATCCTCATCTATTTCTCAGCCCAGGTTAGTATTGGTCTCTTTGTTTGATCTGTTAGTCTTTACTATGATGAATGGTTTTAGCTCTAGAATATAGTCTTTATATTGCTGATTATATACAGCTTCTCTTGAGATCAAACTACATTATACCAAATTATTAGAAAAAAATATGTTTTACTTGACATCTTTCAGTTGGTTTCTCGAATATGTTGCTTTTAAGTCATTGGAAGTCAGTCTGGAACTTCCCTTAGAGTTTGTAGACTGATCTAGATATCTTCAAGGTAGTTAATTGTAAGTTATAACCCCCGATGAGGAATCCACTGTTTACTTCTCAGGGAAACAAATGGAACAGCGGGAATGGATGATTCAGAAAGTACCATGTCCACTGTTGCTCATTTCATTGAGCAGCTACGTTCCAACATGTCATCACCTCATGAAAAAGAGCTTATTACAGCACAACTGCTTGATCTTTCTAAAGAAAGAAAAGAGGCAAGGATACTTATTGGTTCCCACTCACAGGCAATGCCGTTATTTATATCCATCCTCAGGAGTGGTGCACCTATGGCCAAAGTGAATGTTGCTGCAACTCTGAGTGCTCTCTGTAAGGAAGAAGACTTACGGGTGAAGGTCCTGCTGGGAGGGTGCATACCACCATTGCTGTCACTTCTGAGGTCTGAATCAACTGAAGGGAGGAAGGCAGCTGCAGAGGCAATCTATGAAGTTTCCTCCGGTGGACTATCAGATGACCATGTGGGTATGAAAATATTTGTCACAGAAGATGTAGTTCCCACCCTTTGGGACCAGCTCAAGAACAAACAGGACAAAGTGGTTGAAGGTTTTGTGATAGGAGCCTTGAGGAATCTTTGTGCAGACAAGGATGGGTATTGGAGGGCTACACTTGAGGCTGGGGGAGTAGATATTATTGTTGCACTTCTTTCTTCTGATAATGCTGCTGCTCAGTCCAATGCAGCCTCTCTATTAGCTCGTTTGATGTTAGCTGTCAGTGACAGCATCCCCAAAGTTATAGATGCTGGTTCTGTTGATGCACTGCTTCGACTTGTGGGTAGGAAAAATAATATTTCTGTTCGTGCAAGTGCCGCTGATGCTTTAGAGGCTCTTTCATCCAATTCGACAAGGGCTAAGAAAGCAGTGGTGGATGCAGATGGCATACCCATTCTCATTGGGGCTGTAGTGGCTCCTTCTAAAGAGTGTATGCAAGGGGAGTGCGGCCAGGCTCTACAAGGACATGCAATACGTGCTTTGGCAAACATTTGTGGAGGGATGTCTTCTCTTATACTTTATCTTGGAGAACTGTCCCATTCGTCCCACTTGGCTGCTCCGGTTTCTGATGTAATTGGAACACTTGCCTACTCATTAATGGTCTTTGAACAGGCATCTAGTGTTGAAGAGCCATTTGATGTGAGACAGATAGAAGATATCCTAGTAATGTTATTAAAGCGTCGAGATAATAGTCTGATTCAAGAGCGTGTCCTTGAGGCCCTGGCCAGTCTCTATGGAAACACATGTCTCTCAAGATGGATCAATCATGCTGTTGCAAAGAAAGTGCTCATTGGACTGATAACCATGGCATCAGCYAATATGCAAGAATACCTGATTCTCTCTCTAACTAGACTATGCTGCAACAGTGTAGGCCTCTGGGAGGCAATTGGAAAGAGAGAGGGTGTTCAGTTATTGATATCACTGCTAGGTTTGTCTACTGAACAGCATCAAGAGTATACTGTTGCATTACTTGCTATTTTGGCAGACCATGTTGATGACAGCAAGTGGGCTATAACTGCAGCTGGTGGCATTCCACTGCTGGTGCAATTATTAGAGATGGGATCACAGAAGGCAAGGGAAGATGCAGCACATTTGTTGTGGATTTTATGCTGTCACAGTGAAGACATACGTGCCTGTGTTGAAAGTGCTGGAGCTGTCCCAGCATTCCTATGGCTATTAAAAAGTGGTGGGCCTAAGGGACAAGAAGCTTCAGCAATGGCACTTACGAAGATTATTCGATATGCTGATTCTGCCACCATTAATCAGCTTTTGGCTTTGCTACTGGCAGAATCTCCAAGCTCAAAGGCCTACATTATTAGGGTATTGGGCCATGTACTTACTATGGCATCCCACAGAGACCTTGTGCAGAAGGGAGCTCCTGCTAATAAAGGTCTTAGGTCTCTTGTCCAGGTTCTCAATTCCTCAAATGAGGAGACTCAAGAATATGCAGCTTCAGTTCTTGCTGATCTGTTTATCAATAGACAAGATATCTGTGATAGTCTTGCAACTAATGAGATTGTCCGCCCTTGCATGAATCTTTTGACCAGCAAGACTCAAGTTATTGCAAAACAATCAGCTCGAGCTTTGAGTGCTCTGTCCCGTCCAACCAAGGTTAAGTCAACAAACAAGATGTCTTATATTGCTGAAGGTGATGTCAAGCCTCTAATTGAGCTAGCAAAAACATCTTCTATCGATGCTGCTGAGACTGCCTTGGCTGCACTAGCCAATCTTCTCTCTGATCCTCAGGTAGCTGCTGAAGCTTTGGCAGAAGATGTTGTCTCATCTTTGACAAGGGTACTAGGAGAAGGGAGTTTAGAAGGAAAGAAGAATGCATCACGTGCCCTTTATCAGTTATTAAATCATTTTCCAGTGGGAGATGTTCTCACAGGAGATGCTCAGTGCCGCTTTGTAGTTCTTGCACTTGTTGATTCATTGACTGGAATGGACATGGATGGTACTGATTCCACTGATGCTCTAGAAGTAGTTGCATTGTTGGCTAGGACAAAGCTGGATATGAACTTTACTTATCCCCCATGGGCTGCACTTACTGAAGTTCCCTCCAGCATAGAGCCACTGTTATGCTGCTTGGCTGATGGACTTCCTCCTGCACAAGACAAGGCAATAGAAATTCTGTCTAGGTTATGTGGTGATCAACCAGTTTTGCTAGGTGATATGTTGGTTGCAAAACCAAGATCTATTGCTTCACTAGCTAATAGAGTAATGAACTCATCCAGTCTAGAAGCAAGAGTTGGAGGGACTGCATTACTCATTTGTGCTGCAAAGGAACACAAACAGCAGTCAATGGATGCACTCGAAGGGTCAGATTTTCTAAAGCCACTCATTTATGCTCTAGTTGAAATGATCAAGTGTAATTCTAGCTGCTCTTTAGAAATTAAAGTAAGAATACATAGGGGTTATATGGGAAGGACTGTATTCCAGGAAGGGCATGAATTTGGGGCTCCTGATCAAGTCACTGTCTTGGGTAGTAGGGTAGTTGCTTTGTGGTTGCTTTCAATAATTTCTTCATTTCATGCAATGAATAAAATTACTGTTATGGAAGCTGGAGGACTGGAGGCTCTTTCTGATAAGCTTGCAAATTATACAGCCAATCCACAGGTATGGGCTTGATTTAACCCCTTCTTAGGTGTCCTTTTATCTTTGAGGTGGTTATTATTTATAGTCTGAGTTCTTGACATGTTCATCTAGATGCAACTCAAGTTTATTCTGTAAAGATTTTTTTTTCTTTCAAAAAATGAAGTTTATTCTGTAAAGTTTGAAGTTTTGGTATCTGAGCTTAAAAGGTTGTGTGATTACAGGCAGAGGATAATGAAGGTATATGGATTAGTGCCCTGCTTTTGGCTATTTTGTTCCAGGATGCGAATGTTGTTCTTTCTCCGTCCAGCATGAGGATTATACCTTCACTTGCCCTTCTGTTCAGGTCTGATGAAGTGATTGATAGATACTTTGCAGCTCAGGCAATGGCTAGTCTTGTTTGTAATGGAAGTAAAGGTATTCAACTCAGCATTGCAAATTCAGGTGCAGTTACAGGGTTAATAACTCTAATTGGTTACATAGAATCGGATATGCCAAATCTTGTTGCTCTATCAGAAGAATTTTCTTTGCCATGTAACCCTGATCAAGTTGTTCTGGACCACCTGTTTGAAATTGAAGATGTAAGAAATGGCTCTACTGCACGCAAATCAATACCTTTGTTAGTGGATCTCTTGAGACCAATGCCAGATAGGCCCGGTGCCCCTCCAATTGCTGTACGCCTTTTGACCCATCTTGCAGATGGTAGTGATGCCAACAAACTGGCTATGGCAGAAGCTGGAGCTCTGGATGCTTTAACAAGATACCTGTCTCTGAGTCCCCAAGACACAACTGAGACGACTATATCTGAACTATTGAGAATCTTATATAGCAGCCCTGATCTTCTTCGCTATGAAGTCTCACTTAGTTCTTTGAATCAACTCATAGCTGTTCTGCGTTTAGGATCAAGAAGTGCTAGGTTCAGTGCTACCAGGGCTCTGCATGAACTTTTTGATTCTGACAATATCAGAGACACTGAATTAGCCAGGCAAGCCATTCAACCATTGGTTGACATGCTTAATGCTGGATCAGAGAGAGAGCAACAGGCAGCTCTTGTTGCACTGATAAAGTTGACATCAGGAAATGTTTCAAAGGTATCATATCTGACAGATGTGGAAGGAAATCCACTTGAGACCCTGTACAAGATTTTAGCATCTTCTTACTCACTGGAGTTGAAGAAAAATGCTGCACAACTCTGTTATGTTCTGTTTGGTAATTCAAAAATGCGAGCAATGCCAATTGCCACTGAGTGTATAGAGCCCCTCATATCACTCATGCAGTCAAGTACAAGTGCAGCAGTGGAAGCTGGGGTATATGCTTTTGAGAAGCTGTTGGATGATGAAAAACAAGTTGAACTTGCTGCAGCATATGATGTTGTGAATCTTCTTGTTGGCTTGGTCACTGGGTCAAACAATCAGCTTACTGAGGCTAGCATCAATGCTCTCATAAAGTTGGGGAAGGACCGTACTAACTGCAAATTGGATATGGTCAAAGCTGGGATTATTGACAATTGTCTTGAGTTACTCCCTTCCTCATCTGATTCATTATGTTCCTCAATTGCTGAATTGTTCCGCATCTTAACAAACAACAGTGGGATTTCAAAAAGCTCAGCTGCTGCGAGAATGGTAGAGCCTCTTTTCTTGGTTTTACTCCGTCCAGATTTAAGTATGTGGGGACAGCACAGTGCCTTGCAAACCCTTGTCAATATTTTGGAGAAACCGCAAAGCCTTGCAACTTTGAAGCTTACCCCTAGCCAAGTAATTGAACCTCTGATTACATTCTTGGAATCCCCATCTCAAGCCATCCAGCAGTTAGGCAGTGAGCTGTTGTCTCATCTTCTAGCACAGGAGCATTTCCAACAAGACATCACAACACAAAATGCAATAGTGCCTCTTGTGCAGCTTGCAGGAATTGGAATTTTGAACTTACAGCAAACTGCTATAAAGGCATTAGAAAGTATCTCTACCAGCTGGCCCAAGGCAGTTGCTGATGCCGGGGGTATTTTTGAGCTCTCTAAAGTTATTATTCAAGACGACCCTCAACCACCACATGCATTGTGGGAATCAGCTTCATTGGTCCTATCAAATGTTTTACGGATAAATGCTGAGTACTACTTCAAAGTTCCTCTAGTGGTCCTGGTGAGACTGTTGCATTCGACATTGGAGAGCACTATTACAGTTGCTCTAAATGCCCTAACTGTTCAAGAGAGGAATGATGCTTCCAGTGCTGAACTGATGGCTGAGGCTGGTGCAATAGATGCATTACTGGACCTTCTAAGATCTCATCAGTGTGAAGAAGCATCTGGAAGACTACTTGAAGCCTTATTTAACAATGTTAGGGTGCGAGAAATGAAAATTACTAAGTATGCCATAGTTCCTTTATCTCAATATCTTTTGGATCCACAAACCAGATCACAGCAAGGAAGGCTTCTTGCAGCTCTTGCTCTGGGTGATCTCTTCCAGCATGAAGAACTTGCTAGAGCCAGTGACTCTGTGTCTGCATGCCGTGCTCTAATAAGCTTGCTTGAAGACCAACCAACTGAAGACATGAAAATGGTGGCCATCTGTGCATTACAAAACTTGGTTATGCACAGCAGGACAAATAGGCGAGCTGTTGCAGAAGCAGGTGGCATATTGGTAATTCAGGAACTTCTACTTTCTCCAAATTCAGAAGTTGCTGCTCAAGCAGCATTGCTGATCAAATTCCTATTTTCTAATCACACACTTCAAGAATATGTATCAAATGAACTCATCAGATCTTTGACAGGTAAGCAATCATTGAAACAGCTTAATCTAACCTCTTTTTCATCTATTTTTGTTTTACTGTTAAACTGTTGCTTGCATCTGTTTGACATCCTGTTTGTTAAAATTATCCGTACAATATATTATGTGCATGGTTATATTAATCCATAGTATAAACTCCCTATACTTTTTATTTGTCCTTTAGACCATTGGCAATACTATAAATAAATTCAAACAAGTAATTGATAGAGGAAGAATACTCACTATAAATTCAAGGAACAGCACAATCTATTCTCACCAAATTGGCCACATATGTCCATCAGTCATGAATAATATTTTCAGACAAAGATTATAGCTATTGTCAAATTATGCTCAAGCCTATCTCAATGAATTATAAATCTTACTATTTTCCACTTTTTCCCATTATAATATTAAAAATATTTAATAATGTTTTTAATGTCATATAACAGATTAGCTGGTCTCATATTATAGTTGGGACAAGACATAGATGATGATGAATATCATATAACTGATTCTTTTTTTTTTTTTTTTGATAATTATATAAACTGATTCTAGTTTATTTGGGTGTATTGGGGCTGGATTTGGTCAATCTGGGTAATGCTACTTTTCTATTTTTCTTTTCCTCTATTTGAAACTTTTCACAATGTTAGGACAAACATGCGCTTAGTGCTGTTAAACCTCAAGACTCTTCCTAACCTAACCAATCTCTACCTTCAGTCCTAAAATCACCTGCAAGGATCAAAATGTCGATACACTGGGGTGTATTGGCCTGTATCTTAGGTCACCTTTTATTTTTCTTAGCTTTTTTTTTTCAAACTCGTTCAAGGGGGTCAGTTTAAGGCCCATCTACCCCCCTGAAATAGGTGGGACCCCAAAACACCAAGTGTAGAGGTGTATCAGAGGGTCACTGATATGACAGATATCAGCCAATATGTTTTTTTTTATGAATAATATCAGCCAATATGTTGCAATATTTTGATCCTTATTCACCTGTAAACCCATCCTAACCCTCTTAGACTCATTCTTTATTCATTCAGGTCCTACATCAAATTGGTACTAGAGCAGGCAATACTACATCAAATTGATACCAATGCTATCAGTATGGAATTATAGATGGAAAATGGATGGGTTGGATGCTGGTTGAATGCCATTGCATCCACTAATAACCCACATTTCTAATATCTACATGGGTTTGCAACCCAACCTAACCCACCTATGTTGAGCCATTTCAATATTTAAAATTATGTAAACCATCTTTAATAAGAAAAAGAAAAGATTTGGGTTTCTCTTATAGTGCCACATATCCATACTTAATCGGTTCAATCCAAACATAGAAATTGGAGTTCATCAGATAAAAGTTAGAGAGAGAAAGGGATTAAAGGGGAGAAAAATCACATAGCCAAGAGGAGAGAGAATCTGAAGGAGAGACAGGAGAGAGAAACAACAAAACAGCATTAGGAAAGGATAGAGAGAGAAAGAACATAAAAGAGAGAGAAGCCACAAAACCAAGAGGAGAAAGGATCTAAGGGAGAAAAACAAGACAAGAGAGAGGAGAGAGAAACATAAAAGTTAGACTTCATTAGGAAAATGTTGGAGAGAGAAATGAGAGAGAAGCCATATATCCAAGAGGAGAGAGAATCTAAAGGAGAGAGAGAGTAGAGAAAGGAGGGGAGAAATATAAAAATTGGACTTCATTAGAAAAAATTTTAACTGGTAAACTAATTAAATTAATGTATAGATCCTAGACCTAAATTAATACACAGATCCATAGAATAAGAATAAAGCTATCAAACAATCAGGTTATCAGGCAGACCAAACTGCACATGTAATAGTCACTGATCTGTTATTATCTGTTCAGATCAGATTGTTGGGTTTGCCCAATTGTTTTGAGAGGCTTATTTGTGAAAGCATTATTACATCATTATCAATTATACTTAGTGGTTGTTTGATAACAGTTGAAGTAGCTGAATTGAATGACTTATTACTTGGTCTTTTAGCGAATAAGTTATTCGGTTTGCTGCAAGCGCCTTAATGGCTGAAGCTGAAGTTGGGTTGATTAATGGCTGAAGCTGAAGTTGGGTTGATTACCACAACCTTGAATATTTTATTATTTTATCTACTAAAAGATAAAACAATAGGTAATTATTCAGTTCAGCCATTTCTGCAGGGTTCAAGCCTAATGTTATTTTTTTAGCTCTAAAATGAGTTCATGGATTTGAGCACAGGCTCCACCACTATCACCAGAAAAATGGGTGCTTGGAATATTCTGTTCCTTTTTATTTTCAGCCAAGATGTGATTTGGATAGCAGGAAACTTTGTTGTGTATTTTATGCACTTATTTTCACATACAAACACAGACATTCCTTTCATGCATATCTATACCAGTTATGCAATTAAATTCCTATTTGATGTGTCATGCAGCTGCATTAGAGAAAGAATTGTGGTCAACAGCAACTATCAATGAAGAGGTCCTCAGAACCATAAATGTGATATTCAGCAACTTCTCTAAGCTTCATATTTCTGAGGCAGCTACCCTGTGCATCCCCCATTTGGTAGGAGCGCTCAAGGCTGGCAGTGAGGCAGCTCAGGAATCTGTACTGGACACACTGTGTTTATTGAAACAGTCATGGGCAACCATGCCAATAGACATTGCTAAAGCACAAGCTATGATTGCTGCTGAAGCTATTCCTGTCTTGCAATTGCTGATGAAAACTTGCCCACCAAGCTTCCACAAGAGAGTAGACAGCCTATTGCATTGCTTGCCTGGATGTTTAACAGTGACCATTAAGCGTGGTAATAACTTAAAGCAAACCATGGGAAGCACAAATGCCTTCTGCCGGTTGACTATAGGAAATGGTCCTCCACGTCAGACAAAGGTAAATCTCCAGTATAGACTATAGAGATCCTGCTTATAATACTGGCTTGGTTCCCAATTTTGGCCCACCCTTGTGCTTGTAGCTGGTCCAGTTTGGTTCCCAACTATTTGGTGCCTGCCCTTAGATTTTATACGTAATGGGTCTGCTAGTTGGGCCCTTTTGAGAAGCCTTACTGACCAAGGGATCTTCCATGCAACACTTGTTTTCATGACCAATAAGCTTTACCAGTAGGGTAAATTTTGGCATAAAAACCCTGCCATGTATTCAAGATGAACCTTTCTTATGGCCATTTTGTAACTTAGAAGTATTAGAATTTTGGATGGCTGGTATTACTCCAGCAGCACTCCAATACAAGGTGAGAACATGAGGTATAGGCTAGTGTTTGCTGTTGGATTGAACAAAGCTAATCCAAAGTTCCCTATCTGATGTATGGTCTGGGTCATAGTAAATACAAGTATGATTCTGATTTTGAATTTTGACTAAAACATATTAGATACCAAAGTAGCTGAAGAACGAGAAATAAGGGAATTTTTCTTAGATGTACAATATGCGAATACAGGTTTTAAAAAATATGGCATAAAAAACACAGGGATACTTTATTTTTTTAATATATCTTATCATGTAAAATTATGACTATTTATAAATATGCATGCTTTTATTGCACACGCACACATTTACATGTAAAATATTCTGAAGTTTTCAATTCCATATTTTTATAAAAATATTAAATGTCATTTTTAATTATCTTTTTTACCACACCATGTGTTTGACCAAACTTCCATTGTTTTTTTTTTTTTTTTTTGCCAATTCTTGAAACTGAAATTGTACTTGAACTTTTCCATATTGTACTTCTGCTAAATACGTATGTGCAAATTATGGTATTGGTTGCCTGAAGATTCCTCCATGTTATACTCGACCTACATATAATGGACTACATAATAGGGGTAGCCCTGCCCCAAACCTGCCAACCTTGGTGAAGGTGGGGTTTGATCATACGTCTCAACTACAGCCAACCTGAGACTTTGCCAGCAAGCTAGCTGGCACCTTGAAGATGTCTGCCAAATGTAGTATTTTTGTTGTTTTAAACAGTCATGAATAGAATCCATCTGCATTGCCACACATTCATCCTCCTCTTGATCACATCATCCATATCCCCACGTTGGATTGACTTCTCCTTAAGTAATACTAGATCTGTATTAATTCTTTAGAAAAAAAATCCCACAAAAAAGACTTAGTGGCAAGGGTTTGGGGCCTAAATTTTCCTGGTGAGTAGAAGGCACAAGAGGAGCATATAAGTGGCTTTTGAACACCCAACTATCCTGTTATGTGAAAGATTCCTGGTTGTTTACACTACCAGAAAAAACTTGCAGAGTTGCTCCATATAGAGATGGTAAACCTATAAACGTTTATTGAAGTTTTAAAAAAAAACCCAAGAAATGGTAAGCCCCATGGACTTGCTAAAAAATGCTATTAAAAATAGAAGAAAAAAGGTCAGCACTAACAATATGTGAAAATTCTAATGATATCTCCATGAAGTATATTGCAAATTAAGAAGTGCCAATTTCTTGGAAGAAGTTCCCAGTATCAGTTCTTAAAAGAGGCTTCATGATGTTGCTTTTTTATCCATAATGTTTTGTGTATTTGTCTGAGGTTCTATACGGTGCTCACTAGATATTGATCTTTCAGCATCTGTTTTTCATTTATGTTTGATACTAACACACTCGAATTATGGCTATTAGGTAGTTAGCCATAATACATGTCCAGAATGGAAAGAAGGGTTTACTTGGGCCTTTGATGTACCTCCAAAAGGCCAAAAGCTTCACATCATTTGTAAAAACAAAAATACATTCGGGAAGGTAGGTGGATATTCTTATATATGCTTTTACTTTCCAATTCCTAGAAACCGGGTTGCTCACAATGTTGAGTGGGTGATGTTTTGCAGACAACTCTTGGGAGAGTGACAATCCAGATAGACAAAGTGGTTACAGAGGGAGTATACAGTGGGTTCTTCAGCCTTAACCATGATAACAACAAGGATGGATCTTCTCGGACATTAGAAATCGAGATCATCTGGTCTAATAGGACATCAAATGAGAACATGTAAATTGAGTAGTCTGCATTTCTACTTATACACTTATACACAGAAATGGTTAGTTCAGAAAGCTTTTCAAAAATATGGGCAGCGGGGATATAATATTCCCATCCCAATCTGTAAGTTGGTTAGGTTATTTGTTTGTAAGTATTATTTCTGCGATGCCCATTTTTGTAGCTGTTAGAGATTGTGCTGCTGAGGTTAAATGTAAATGTTAATTAAGTTGCAGAGGGGTTTTTAATAACAGCTGAAATGGCTGAATTGAATGATTTATTGCTTTGTCATTTAGTAGATAAAGTAACTAAATAATAAAATGTTCCAATGTAGAATAATCAACCCATTTTCAGTTTTAATAATTAAGGAGTTTACAACCTCCTTAATAACTTATTCACTAAAAGACAAATCAATAAGCTATTCAGTTCAGCCACTTAAGCTGTTATAAAACGGCCTCCAAGAGTTCCCAGAGTGTCATTATTCAGGCTCAGCAACTGGTGGTTAGGTCTTATACTCTTTTTTTTTTTCTTTTTTGCTTTTTTTATTTGTTTATTCTTAATCTTCCTTTTTTTGGGTACTTGGGAAGAATGGAGTGACCCGAGTGGGAAGTTGATAGAACGCAGCTTTTTGCGGAATGCTATTTCTTACACCTATTCAAGAAACCCATTTTTAGTGAATCAATTGTATTGTTTATGCACATACAACAGAATGTTATTGCTGGGTTTTTAGTAGGGACATTGTGAATCCAGAGGGATTGAGACTTTGAGAGTACTTGGTAGTTGGTAGCACAATCAAGTCTGAGGGGTTAAAATGGAATAAGCACCCAGCGAGAAGTAGAGTGGTGTTTGAAATCCTAATCCTTCTAAATGGAAAGGTCCACATTTCATCTTTACATCCTGAAAGCCTGAACCATATCTTTCAGAGAGCCTTGCAACGCTATCCAACAGTTCCAGAGCTGAAAATCAGGTAAAAAAAAAAGCATAATCAGACCTATCTGCATGCTTATGGTTGAGAGAAAATAAGCAAGGAGAAGAAGGTATAAAGTACAAACGAAAACATAAGAAGCAATTGGGGATCCAAGTTGCAACTTCTTATTGCACCCAAAATTCGGTCTGTACCTGCATTTCAAAATTATTCAGACGGTACAATGCAGTTCAAGTCTCAGGAAACTTGGTTGCATGGTCATTTAATCAGCAACTACATCAAAATGTTGTTTCTTAGAGAGCTTGGTTCAAAGTATCAACACAGATGATTTTTAAAATTTGAGTATCACCCAATTCTAAACTTTGATACTTGTTATATTTTGGGTGGAAGACATGGATGTATTTGAGTTGATATACCAGGCCATGGAGCTCATAGTTGTTGCAAAAGCACAGACTTGTTGAGCCATTGCTTTGTTTTTCTTCAAAAGCCCAACCCAAACCTGCCCGAGTAGCACCGCTAATTCTAACAAGCCACATAATAATTCCTCCAAGTGGCATAACTATGACAAATTTTTGCTCTTTCAATGAAGGATGCAAAATCCTTCTGAATTATGTGTCAAAAGGCTTGGGGTTCGGCTTCAGTAAGGGCAAACTCTATTCGGGCAGCCTTTACTGCCTTGCACTGAGAATATCTCCATACTTATATGCTTTATTTCATGGGGAGATATTCTCAATGCAAGGTTGGAAAAGGCTGTTAGAACGGTGTGGGCATGGATTTACTCTGACTGAAGCCGGTCTCAAAGGCTTGTGTCTACCATTCATTCAAGGAGTGAAAATAAACTATATGATAGATGTAGGAAGATCTCGTTTGGAAACATTTTCTTATATGTGCATTTGCATGCATGTATTACATTTAAAAGGAGATTCCCTAATTGGGTTAAGTAGGGATGTTCCCTGTATGTGACCTATCATATCGAGATGAAGTATGATGTAGCCAATCCAAGCCATCCAACAATTATACTGCGTTTGGTTTGACAATTAATACGAAAAAAAAAAAGAAAGTTGAGGGAAAGTTCTTAAGAAGTTTTGTGTCCTTAGGATCTGTTTGTTTGCAAAGCAATTTTATTTGAACTAGTACAAATGGGTGGGAGTGCAAATTTGAATCTTGCAACGTTTGGTTTATTTTTGCTTCCACTTTTTCATTATTATGATTTAATTTTCGTTTTACTTCAACTACAAACAAACAGAATAAAGTGAAACCTATAACAAAAATAAACCAAACTCYTGTTTGGTTTATAGAAATAGGGGTTTGGAATCGGAATCGGAATCGGAATCGGAATGATTGAACAGGATCGGAATCTCATTCCCATTCCTGGTGGAATGACATTCCCCCATTTGAGGGAATGGCCATTCCTTCCCCCTCCTTTAAAAATAAAATCCCATTCCAACTGATTCTAATTCCTATTCCGATTCCTGTTTGAACCAAACAGACTATGGGAATAGACCATTCCAATTCCGATTCTAACAACAAACCAAACAGACCCCAGGAATCTAACTCATATGCACTTCCATACTTTCGCACCAACATAGATGAAACTCCACTGGAAACGAATAAGCCTAAGAACTTTCTCTTAATTAATTCTCTCTCTCTCCAAACCTAACATAGCCTCACAGGGGTAGGGGACACTTAATCAATCCTCCGGTCCATGCCAGCCTTGTATTCAACCTTCTATCAAATTTTCTCACAACCAATGATGGCCATGGCCATGGGTTTCACTACCTTAATATTAAACCTGCCCAAAAATCATGGCCTATAGAGAATCTTAGCCTTTGGGCTCCAAACCAATTTGCCACATGGAAGATTCCTTGTCTTTAGCATTATTCTATGCCTGGTCCTAATGTGGAATATGGACCGGGCCAGGTTCGGCCGCTGGTCCTTCTTGTTTGGGTTAGCTATTGTTGCCCTTACTTTGTAGTTTATGTAAAGTATCCCTGCCTCTATGGCTCTATCCAGTCCTTTTCCTTTGACACCAATCTTCGTTTGTATCTTGCTTCCTTTAGTATTATAGCAACCCTCTTGAGGGGGACCATTGGGCATTGGACCAAGTTGTTAGTCAACATCAAGCTTTTCAGTTCTGTCTTGCCAGTTCAAACAATCCCATTCTTCCCTCTAGAAATCCAAAGATAAAAGACAATAGATTCCATTTGTATTTCAAAACAACTGCCTGCAATGGGTAAACCTGCATAGCCCAATTTAGTAAACCAGCAAAAAGAAATGGAACCCCACCTTAGAGGCAATGAATCAAAAGGAAAATACATACAAAGGGTTGTTACCACAAGGTCAAGCTAATGAGAGTATGAAATCATGATAATAGCAAGGTTCAAAATATCGATGCAGATCAAACCGTATTGTACATTATGTATCAGTTTTTGAGATTGTCTATATACATTATATTAAGAATTAATGACAGATCCTTTTAGTTAATAATGACATATATATTAATAATTACAAGACGGGCATTGAATAAAATTTAATAAAGTAAAATATCAATGTATTTAATGTCTAAATACTGAATTTTTAATATCGAATGTATTGATACTTTGAACCATCAACAAGAGAAGTTATGAACTAACAAATGTTTTTTTTGGTAACTAGCTAAAAATTGTTCAAAACTCCAAGAGAACAATGGGCATAATAAGCCTGGTTTGGAGTACATGAAAAAATATATGGTCCTTACCCATATCTGGACCGGAATGATAACCAAAATACTCGCTGGTCATGGTTTTTTATGGCTAATTGGTTCAAACCCTGAAAACCATAATTTCATCAGGACCCAAAAAGGTCATTGGGTCACTAGTTCAATTGTCTAATCCGGTTCGAGTCTCATGACACCGGTCCAAAATATAATTAAGGTAAAAAGAAGATTGGAAAAGTACGGATAGGCCCAATGTAGATTTCTGATTTCCACTGTAGAGTTATAAATATTCAAAATGTCAATAACCCACACTCTATGCATCAACGTCCGCCCGTGAATTAGCACCAATTCCGAGCTGGCACCTACCCTAACAGTACTTTGGGCCTACAAATTCTGACCCTAGGCTGAACTGTCATTCTCCCAAAGAAAATTATTGTTAGTGCTTGAGGTGATGGGATCTCTATATCAATTATGTTGAAGACTAATGGGTTGTCTAGTAAGAGTAGGGGTGTAAATGGATCGAATCATGATCTAATTCGAAGTCCAATCCCATATTTTCGGATTCAGATAGCCCCATTTTGGATCTTTGTATCTGATTGAATTAGGTAATAGGATTCGATCAGAAATTTTATTGAATTTAGATCGTCCCCTATCTGATTCGAGAAGATTTGATTTGATATATATATGTTATTATTTATTTCTTTATTTAAATCTCTCTCTCTCTCTCTCTCTCTCTCTCTCTCTCTCTCCCTCTCTCACACACACACACATATATATATAGTTGAAAAGATACTTGTATTTTTTGTTTTTTTCTTTATTTAAATTGTTTTATTTTATTTTTCTTTTAATAACTTATTTATTTTTTAAAATCAAATCGAATCGATCAGATCTAAAGATCCGACTATCTCAGCGGATTTGAATTCAAATCCATGTTTATGAGATCTAATTGAATCTTTGGATTGGATCGGATATGCAATTAATAGTATCGGGTCGGATTTAGATATACCCTTATTCGAATTCAATCTGATCCATTTGCATCCCTGTGATAGAACATATAATTTGAGTTTCAAAGGGAAGTTAAGGATTTTAGCAATACCCCATTATCCAAGTCACAATTCAATTTTTGGTTTGATTAAATTGGATTTGGATCTAAAAAAATCAAATCTAATTATAATTAGACTAAATATGGATCCATACCAATCTATGTGAATTTGATCAAGTAAAATCCGAGTTCAATAATATTAGGGTTAGGATGCCAGAAATACATGATACCGGAAATAAACTTATAACTATTCAGGTGGGTTTTCATCAAAATTCATGGGGTTTTGATTGGTCAAAGCCTTTTTGGTATTTTGTTGTTCCCACATTATAGATTTTCCCATAATATTAATATTTTTTTGTAAAATCCATAATATTAATATTATATGCAAATATTTATATACAATTAAGATATTATTATTAAAATATAATAATTTGGCCATTTTTAGTTTAATTTATCAATCATATATAATATCCAAATCTGATCTGAGTCTAGTCAAAATCTGCTACACAGATTCAACCGGAATCCGATTTGTGTATGGTCCTAAATAGATTAGGCCTCTAAACTTAGAGTAGGATTGATCATTCCTTCATCGATCCACGTCATGGTTTTTAAAACAAG